ACTGAAGAAAAAATGATCTGTGTGGATTTCTGAGTTACAGGCAGTGAATTTCCCAACACCTGGTTCTGTTTACTCTGAGTTTGAACCTCACCGTGTTTATAGAAGCTGAATGTCTAACTGTGACCCGATGCAGGATTATTTTTTTAACCTGCTGTATCATGCTGACATTTCCTCCGCTGCCTCCCACTTCTACTACCCGTGTAAAAAGCTCTCGTTTTCTGTCTTTCATGTCCGCAGATGTATGGGCGGTACACCCAGGAGCTGGGTGTGTATGCCAAGGAGGAGGCAGCCCGCCTACGGGATGGAGGAGTGCGGGATGGCGGCGGACTGCGGAGGAACACCAGCGTCCGTAGTCGTGCTGCAGATCTGCTGGAGTACGAGAAAGACCCCTGTGCAAAGTGCCAGTGTAAGTGATGACCTCTCAACACGCTCTTAACCTGCACAGTGCGCAGGCAGTGTGGTGCTGAGACCACGTCCTGAAGGTCAGACCAATGCAGTGTTTAAACAAAGTGGATTTGGTGTGTGTGTGTGTGTGTGCAGCCCTGAAGAAGCCTTTTGTGGCAGATTGCAGCGCTCCAGCAAGCATGAAAGTTGTGCGAAAACACTGAGTTCTTAAAGTACAGCAGAGGGGCTACCTGACACAAGGGAGCAGCAGAGGATGTGAGCACGATTAAATGTGACTGATCTGAGCAATGACCTCCAGCCAATGAGGTCCGTCTCAATGTCAGACAAAGACAGCACCCTCTGCTGGGTGCCAGTGGATCACAGTGCATTTTGTGTGTGTGTGTGCAGATGTTTGCTTTGCTCTGCTTTGCTGTGTGTGTGTGTTTTCGTTTGTGCGAGCATGACTCTGATCTGAACTGTCAGATTATTTTATGTCTGGGCCTCCCAGATGACTGCAGATAAGGGAGTGGCATCAGAAAAGAGCTCCACTTCAGACTGATGTAGTCAACAGTAATGGACTGACAGATTGTGGCTGTGTGTCGGTGTATTTGTGTCCACATCCGTGTTTCCTCTCAGCAACCAGAATGTTGCTTTTGGAAAGAGACGTTGCATTTGTCATTTTTTTTTATGCTGTCAGTTCCCCAAAATGAAATCCCCCCCTCACCTACGTTTTATTGATGTGGTGGGCAAAACTTGGAGATGGATATCCTGAAGCTTGGCTGAGTGAGAGTCAAGGTAATTGTCTGGTAAATCGGGAAATATGTTGGTGGTTGAAACGGCCAATTATTTGATCAGCTGATCAACAGAAGTCAACTATTTTATTATTTACCTGCCAACTACTTTGATAAATGATCAGTCAGTAATTTGGCAAACGCTAAAACTTTTCCCAGCTGCTTGAATATTGCATTCAGTACTGTGTAGGGGGTTTCCACTGTTGGCTGGACAAAACAAGCAGTCAGAGCGGAATTTATTTTCACTTTTTCCGCATCTAATGGATTAGATGTAATGGCAGTTTGCGAAGGGGGAAACAGATGCTTGCTTCTGGAAACAACAGGAATTTGGTTGATGTAGTTTGCCTCATTGATTTCCCCGGTTATCAACACCATCAGCAGTTAGAGCTGCGGCGGTGACTGTAACAGACAGAGCATAAAGGCAATTAAGGCAATTTAAAGGTTCCGTACTGTGCTTCTTTTCGACAAATGAATGAACGTCTCATATGTCCCCAGAGTGCGTCTTTTAATTTTTCAGCTCGAAAAAAAAACATACGGCAAAGACGCTTCATTTCACCGTGACTGTATAACTCCTGGTTTTAGTTTGATTCTAAATCGGCTGTTTCAGTGTCTGTTCAGGAAGAAGACTCTCTCTGTGTGTGTGTGATTGACAGCATGTTGACAACACAGCAGCCGACACAAACATGACTAAGTGTACAACAGGACTTCTTATTGCTTCTAATGCTCTCCCTGGGCGATCGTTGTACATGGTAATATCGCCCAAAGTTGTTTTAAGATCGAGGCAATGTTGCAATTATAAAATCAACAGTTTAGACACGGATCAACGCTAATAGTAACGTTAGCCACATTGATTACATTAGACTAAAAAGTCTTTATTGTCCCAATTTGGGCAATTTGATTTGCAACAGCAGTCGACAACTAAATTCATACCATAACACAGTACAGAACAATACATAGAAACATAGATATAAATAATAAATGTCATCAGGTGAGTTATCTTGACCATACATGTAGCCTACAGTGCAAGGACACAAGCCTAAAGCTTATTTAGAAACCCTACAGCTGAGGGAACAAATGATCTGAGGTATCTGTTTGATTTGGCCCTCTTAGGGAAGGTATACCTCTTTCCAGACAAAAAGTAAAAACTCAGCATACAGAGGGCTTGTGGGTAGGCTAAGATGACCTCTGCCCTCTGAATGCTCCCCAGCTGATTTTTATTAGTGATGCTAAGGTTCCCGTACCAGCAAGTCACTGCAAAAGTTAGGATTGACTCAATAAAAGACGAATAAAACATGTTAAAAAGCAAACTGTAAACAATAAAATCTCTCAGCTTCCTTAAAAAGAACAGTCTCTTTTTGCAGATGTAGTCCATGTTGGCCTCACAATGTTGGACACACAATATACTTCCTGTTGTTGCCATCAAAAAATAAAAGTCATCCAAAGGATCTTGAGTTCCTCAGATGCTGGGAGTGCATAAAGACTCTTGTGTTCACTCCTGTAGCCAACAGCAGAACATGACTGAGACATTGTAGAGTTGGCAGAAGCAGCTCTAGAAAGTAAATAAACACCAGAAAACAATAAAACATTTATCATGTGGGACCTTTCAAAAGCTTAGTGCCTGATTGCTTTTCTTTATTAAAATCTTACTGCTGCTCAGACTGCTTGACAGACATGATGCAGATGTTTTCATTCAGTTTGACTTACACTTGCTGAAGATATCAGTATCTCTCCTTCATCCTCGTGGACATCATGGCAAAAAAAAAGACTCTCTTTGTACCTCCAGACCAGATAACATTTAAAGTATTTTAGATTAATGTGAATTCTGTATATTCATGGTTAAATGTGCATGTGAAAGCAGTTTGGTATATTTTTTTGATGATTCCTCCCACAAATATGAATGAACATTGGATAACAGTGTACTGAATCCAGGGGGACATTAGATGGGAAATTAATTGCAGTTTTTTTTTTCTTTTTCCAATTTTGTACAGAGGAAGGCACAGTATAGGACTTAAAAAACCCTGATATAGATCAAACTATTAATCAGTTATGTGAGAAAATACCTGACCGTCCACTAATATTAAATTTGAAAAACAAATCATGCTATAAAACAGATCATCTTGCTAAATTTGAAACAAGGCGAAAGGAGAGAACGTCGGCGTTTGTGCTCACATGAGCTTGCACAAGTGAGCCACCGTGGCCGCTTTCCAGGATCCGTCTCTGCCGCTTTGCCCTTGTGACTAGTGATCTGATTAAAGTGCGATAGATTGCGCCATAGGTGAAAGCTACCCTATATCAGGCCGGCCTCGCTCGCTCGCTGTAATGGAAGCCATTTAAAACAATCACTCTCAGATCAGCAGCCAGCCGGAGTGATTTGTGTGCTCGCTGTCTGCCGTGTGTGCTCGTAGATCAAGAGGTGTTTGTATTTTTAGACTCGTCTTTAGAGAGAGAGACGCTCAGGCTGGCCGGGCTCTGCTGTTGTCTTAGGTAATGTGTGCAGAGAGAGAGAGAGAGAGAGAGAGCCTTCAGGTTTGGAGGAAGTGGGAGTTTTTAGTGTTTTCCTCTCATGCATCTGTGTGGGAACATCATGTCTGTGGGTGATGGAGTGTGTTCCTCAGTTCAGAACAGTAACTGAAGCTTTTGAACAAGGCAACCTACACATGCAGCTAAACGCTCTGCTGATGGAGAGCTAAAAACATGCACTGCCTCACTGTGTTTATTTTGACTCACGGAGTGAATTCTTTACTTTTAGGGATTTTATAGCCGATGCTCCTCAGATCTCTGTCTACCGGTTGGTCCGCGGTTCCCCCTCAGTGTATTATATCACACGTTTCACGGTGCATTCAGGGGCTGAACATCTTTGAAACACCTGTTTATGTGAAAGATCTTGTGTATTTTTAGCATTGTTTCTGATTAAAGCCAGCTGGTGTCAGGTGTTTTGCGAGGCAGGATTCGCAGAGGTGGAGAAAATGTCTGGCGTTGGGTGCAATTTTTTTTTTTTATGGCGGGATCGGGAGAAGACATCTGTGAACGCCACCGAGTCTTGCGGATGTGAGCGCGAGCCAAGATGCACATGGAAGTATGCGGCTATGCAGGTGGCAGACAGGAGTGTGATTGTGCGAGCGAAAAGGAATGAAGACGGAGAAGCTGTGGGAATCTACCCAGGGCCTGTCCAGTCAACTGTGAAGTTAAAATAATACATCTAGAAAGAGCGCGGCACTCTCATGTGCTCACGTAGATTTATCTTTTAACTGTATCTCAGAGTCAGGATTGTTTTCGTTTTAACCTGGTGTGCTTCCATGTGTGCGTGACAGGTCATGTGTGGGTTTTCATGTGCATGTATACATTCTCCGTTGGCAACCTGCCACCCAGCAGGCGGTCTTGCTGACGGGCAGCTTGCCCTGTCATTCACACAGTTGAGCCTCGTTTCCCATCAGGAGGCTCGGCATCCCATTGTGACCCGACTCCTGCGCCAGAAATACTGCTGCGGTGTTTTCCCCATTTATTATATTGTTTATCATTTCTGTACAGTAACATGTCAGTCAAACAGCATGAAATATTTGTGAGCCATAGCCTTTTTTTTCCTCCTTGTAATGAGACAGCATAATCGCAAATTTGACAAAGAAAAAGAAATCCACCCTTTTATAAGAAAATGTTGAAAGTCTTATCTTGAGGGGTCAGATTGTCACATTTTCTGGAGACATGACTAAACTAAATGGGAGGAAATTATATGTTTGTGAGAGTTTTGACACATTTTATTTGTGTTTTAGTCGTGAGCCATTATTTCAAGCTTTTTTTTGAACATCTTACAATGTCATGTTTTTGGTTCCTGTGGATAAAAAAAAAAGTTGATATATCTGTGAATGCTTTGTGGCATTCCTTCTCACCATAAGGCCTGCTGGTTCAGACTACAGATATTAATCTTCACAAATGTCTTCAGAATATGCGCTTTCTATAGACCAGGGGTGTCAAACTCTGGTCCTCGAGGGCCGCAATCCAGCATGTTTTAGATGTTTCCCCTCTTCCAACACACCTGATTCAAGCTTGCAGGATTGCGGCCCTCGAGGACCATGATTGGACACCCCTGCTATAGACAGTGTATAAAAGATTAACTTAAACCTGCATTCCCTCTGACAGCCTGTAGGGGGCGACTGCTATATAGAAGTCTATGAGTAATGACCGTACTTCTGACTTGATTTGTTACCTCAGTAGACATTTCCCTGATGAGTTTATGAGCAAACT